AACCGAGTAATTAATTAGTTGCCGTGAATACTTTGCATAATTAGTCGTAGCCAAACATCAATCCAATGTATAATCATAACTCTAAAAAAATAAATATTCCGCCGATTGCTCACAGCGATTGATAGAACCGAGTTTCGATCACCTTAGACTCCAAGGTTTAGAGGCCATCCACTTGATTCTGCACTGCTCCGAAATCGTTGTTGAGCAGCTCTAATATCGTTGTTAGAAAGATTTGACGAATGCAAAGAAACTTCAGAGTGATCACTCTCGATATTATGTATTAGGTGAATTGATTGCGAGAATAACGCCAAAAATACGAGCCGAATGTGCGAAGAATGGAGTGACCGTGCCCGGTCTCGTTGATATGATACTGAAGCATGTCTATCCGAGTCGAACCATCATTCCGGGTCGTTATTTCCGACCGATGATGGTGTTCGCCGAAGAACACAACTTGAAACGGCTACTCCTCAGTCTTGGAGAGGTAGTTCAGCTTGTTGTTGCTGACAAAACGTGCGATTTCTCGTATTTGACGGCTTCATTCCCAAATGATCACTTATAAAATCATTTGGATCAGTGTTTATCTTACCTGTGGTCCACTAGGGAACGGAACCATCGTCGAGAGAGGACCACGATTTTCCTGGGAAAGAAATCACTCATCAAAAAATTCGATGAATATCCTGGATTCAGATCGGGGTTCCACTTATTGCGCAAATTTTTTGATTTACGGCGATTTCAGATGGTTTGTTTGGAGCCACCGCTAACTGCCGAGCAAATGTTGGAGCATCTGCAATTGGCCGATCGTTATGATTTGAAAAATTTACGCCGTGCTTGTCTTCTACGAATCGAAGGAAGGTACGATGCTCATCAAACATCCACGATCGCATTCGAGTATTCCCGATATCCTTGAATGTTGAAGGCAAATAAATTCAGTGTCTCCTATCGAAATGATTCCTTAACGCTAGCTTTTGTTGGTTATTTCGGCTGTTCTCCCAGGTACCCGGTGAATCTGCCCAAAGGCATCTAGTTTATAGCAATATCATCACATTTTACAGTTTCAAGTCTCGGGCTTCCAAACTGATGACGTTACCCGAATACAAAGAGCTCCCCGAGAAAATACGTGAGGAAATCGAGGACAGACATTGCTCTGGATGGGCATTGCAAGATGGACATCTGGCCGGGTAGGTAATGATATAAGGAATGATCTCAATAATTAGCCGTAGCCAAGTTATGAGAGTTTGAATTTTCAAAATTTTCAAAAAAATTTCAGTTAATACCACCAAGAGGAAGATCTTGCCCATACTACACACCGTTTTAATATGGAGCCTAGATCTCAAGCGGCTGCTCGGCTATGGCCAGAAATATTTTTTAAATTTCCAAAATTTTCACCCTCATCCTAGAATCATCAACAGCTTGCTCAATATTGACACATCTATGATTCATCGTTAGAGAGCAATCAACTAATTCCCCTGCAACTGTTTAGCTTACTTCTGAGCTGTCTTCTGGGCCGAAACTGTCCTATCTCCTAGATTCTACTGCCGATTTATGCCTTCTTAGCGAATGGAATGGAAAGAAATGCGTTGAATCGAGCAATTCTTTCATGTGATCGCTTAATGAATACGCTGAACTGAGACTATCGAAAGGATTTTCGAAAGATAATCCATTCAGGCTGCCGACAAATCATTTGATAAGAGAAATAACGTTGACAGAAGGTGGCCCACAATCCCAGTCGAACGATACGGGCGGCTTGANCCGACAAATCATTTGATAAGAGAAATAACGTTGACAGAAGGTGGCCCACAATCCCAGTCGAACGATACGGGCGGCTTGAGGATTCCTGAAGAAATGCGATCAGTGGATGCGTTCGGTTCAGTGCACGATATGAAAATGACTTATTGAGCCGTCAGCTAACATTTAAACTCCCTGATCAGCTGATTTCTTCCATTTGATCTGCGTGATTTGAGTTGTTCTTTCGGTTAAATCATGGAAGAGATAAACTGAATTCAGTGATTAATTGGAACGATTGAAGTCGTCCATTTGATTTCTAATTTTGTTTTGTTTGAAACGTCGTTGAAGATTGATCACATCGATGATCAATCTGTTGATTTGATTGAAATATTTCTTTATAATTCATATTTTGTCACATTTTTGATTCATGCCTTGAATTGTTCATTCATCTCAACAGCAATTTTAACTTATTGCGAGCATATACCTCTCTGGATCACCAAGCATCGCAGCTGTCACTTTCTTGATTCGCTCGAACTCAAGTGATCATATTCTACAGCTTTGATAATTTTGCTAAAAT